AATGGAGAGAGTGGACAACCTTGTCTGGTGCCTTTTTGTATATCTATAGGTTCTGTCAGGTCTCCATTAATAATTATTTGAGCAGATTGTTTTTGATATATCGCTTTTATGGCTGTCTTAAATTGGTTTCCAAAATTCATATAGTCCAATATTTTATTTAAAAACTGCCAGTCCAGTTTGTCAAAGGCCTTCTCCGCATTCCAACCACAACTTTCTTAGCCTCGTTTTCTCTCAATCACACTCATACTCAGGCGCATTCATTCAACATCCATTCACATTTAACCCCCACACACACTTCATAGGAGACCCATCTCCATTGTGTTCAAATTTACTTTTGATTTTCTTCACACAACTCTTGGTTTCCTGTAACAAAGTTTATCAAAAGCAGAGAAAATGACTTTTTTAAAACATTTATGTCTAGCAACAGGCCAAATACTATCTTTCTTCTAGCATTTGAATTTGAACGTATTAAAATTTCTCCAACCATTTTCCTTTCTTTAATAAATATTTTATCTCGGAATATACATTTAATCTATTTGCTCAAGCTTTATGCTGCAATAAGTAATTCAGTTTTCCCAATTAACCACAATTGCCTTAGATTTTCAATACAGGTATTCCTTGGCTTACAACCGGTCGTCTATTGACCATTTGCAGTCATGACAGCCTTGGAACTGATGCTTTATGGCCTATAAAGCACTTCTGGCTGTCATAAAATGTTGTGCTGATTTTCCCAAGTCATATGACTGCATTTTGGTCACTTAGCAACCTGTTCACATTTATGACCTGTTGCCAAGCGCTCTGTGATCATGTGATTGCCATTTCTAATTTTCTCTCCTGGCTTTCCCAGTCAACGGGAAAGCCAGCAGGGAAGATTACAAAGGGAGGGAAGTTGGATTTGAGGTCAGTTCTCCCAGCATGCCGAGAGATTTCCCCCCCCCCCCATGCAAGAGGAGGAAATTTCACAGGCTCAAGGAACAAGCCTCAAATTTGGCAAAAATGCTAGCAAACACCAGCATTCCGAACCTTTCAAAATGAATGTCAACATTTATCACTGGTATTTAAGCAAATACCATCTCCACTTCTCTAAAGGGAAAAACACTTAGCAAACACCAACATTCTGAGCCTTCCAGAATGGTGTTTGCTAGCATTTTTACCAGATTTGCGGTCCATTCTTTAGTGTGCTGAGGGACTTTCCACCAGAGGGTGGGGAGAGGGCTTGAGTATCTGGGTGTAGTAGCATTTGGCTTAAGGACCACATCTGAGAGCTGGGATTGTGGTTGTTGAACAAAACTGTCATGTGGCATCTCACTTAACAAGTGCTTGCTCAACAACCATGATTTTGGGCCCAATTGTGGTTGTAAGTGGAAGACTACCTGCTTATTAGTTTTCAAATCTATATACACCTTGTATCATACTGTATTCACTTCAAATATTTAGACCTTGAAGCAACACATATATGTTTTCACACCCAAAACCAGACTGCTGGTGAAATATGATTCAGAATCCAAACAATTTAAAGGCAGTATGGTTAAATACAGTATATGCAGAAATGGAATGCAGTGATAAAGAGATGGAACAATGGAAATTTCAATGGAAGAACATTACATTTATTCCAAACATTATATTCAGAAAAAATAGTATGTTTTAATGTTGGTATACTATCTCCATTCTGATTGCTAAAATGTTTAATTTATTTTTAAATAATTGCTGGAAAGGTAATAAGCAGATGGGATAATTTTTTTCATATTTGATGGCAATGTTATAAAATTCAACCATTCTGAAAAATGATTCATGCTAGTTTGAAGGAAATTTTGAAAGATGAATTCCCATTTCAGTCTATAATATTTTTACAGGTAGTCCTCAAGTTATGATGACAATTGGGACTGGTATTTCTGTTGCAAAGTGATGCTTTCTTAAAATGTGACACCATGTGACAACACCTAGCAAAGGCAATAAGGACCATGTGGGTCATTGATCAAGGACCTCATGTGAACAGGACTTCCGACTTCCTTCAGCTTCCCTGTTGACTTTGCTAGCAAGAAATGTTGAAAATTGTGATCACATGACCATGGCTCGCATCTTCACTTAAGTGTCCAGATATAAAATAATCCTGTTCTACAATAAAGAACCTTCAGACAAAATAGCTTTTTAAAATAAAAATGTGTTAGTGGGCACCCAAAGATAAGAGATCCTTGTTGTACTCATTTGCTCAAGATAACCCAGAAGTGAAACTACTGCAGAAAATGTGCAATCCATTTCTGGAAGCTCTAATGCTATTCTAGTGATTTTTCATTTTGTACTGTGTTACACATTGAATGTTGACAGTTCTGAATACATAGCAAAAAATTAAGTGTTAATATTATTAGAAATAGTTTATTTAAAAAAATGTGATTCCAATAATATACACAATAATAAGCTTCAGGTTAAATAACAGGTTATATTAAAGATTTTTATTTAGGAATCAATATAATTTAGGAAGTAAATTGTACATGGATTATGCCAATCTGGCTTGAAACATAAAACTATAAAAGCATGAAAAAATTTCATGTACACAAGTTACATAAATACAGTTAATGTTTCTCCATTTAAATGTAAAACATATTATTGTTTAAAATTAATAACAATGAAGTACTTTGTAAAACAAAAAGCAGCAACTATAACAAACATCAAACACACATTACAACAAACGTTTAAGTAAATATTACACTTTTCAAAAATGTAATCAATAGCCAAACACAGTTATTGCATTCAGCTCAAAATATCAAAGTGATTTTATCTTTGAACTTTTAACTCTAAAGCTTAAAAACAATGTATCCTCTCTAGAGCTAGGGAAAAAAATATTAATGTAAAAGTTTAAAGGATAATTTGAAGCCAAATTTCTTTCCAAACAATATTTATTACTTAAATAACTTAAAAGAATATTTATAATGAATCAGGCTATCACCATTTTAAAAAAACATCTATGAAGTAAAGAACCAGATAACTTAAAAAGTAGAAATGTTTCTTCAAAACAAAAATGAAAAACCTGACAAAATAAAGAGGGTCTGGAAAATAGGACTTAAAATCCAAACTTGAGTTCAGTCTTTGTTTAAGAGTTAATAATCTCCATCCCTGTGCCAGTGTTAAAACAGTATGACTGGATTCTGTAACTAGAAACATAAATAATACTAGATGGAAGTGTGTTAGTCTTTTCGAACTCTTCGTTTACGTACTGATTTTGCAGGTCCATCAACAGACCCAGTGCTTTCATCTGCTTCTCTCATCTGGTGGGGAAGGAAAATATAAACGAGAGTTGTCAAAATAAGTTATGGTTCATTATTATCCATCTTGGTTACAACTAAGTATTAAGTTTACTTTTGAAAATATTAATGTTTTTATTTCTTAGAGCATTAAGAAAATCAATAATTACTTTGCATTTATAAATATGGCTTGCTTATGATTCTTTTAAGCATAACTTGTACTACTTATAGAAAGAAGGAGAGAACCAAAATATAGGATACTTACCGAATCCAACATATTTAAGTCAATATGGAAAGGTGATTTTTTTTCCCATATTGACTTAACATATCTACTTTCTAGTGTATTTAGATCCTAATATAGTCTAAATTCACTAGAATTCTAGTATATCAGGAAACAATTACGTCAGTTAGAAAGTTATGGAATGTAATGTCAAATAAAAAAAGATTGGATCCTTTTTCCCATGCTAAATTAACTTTCTGGAAAACCCATCTTTAAAAAATTGGGAAAAGATGGTGATATGGAAAAATTGGATGGAAGCAAGTATATGGACCAATTGACAGATAATAATGAATTTTTAACATATGCTGTATTACAAAATATATCAAATGTAACCCAATGGCAATATTTACATATTTACAGTTACATTTGTTAACAATATTGTTAGCCTTTTCACCTGAGATACTAGAACACCTGGTTAAATCTTTTAGCATAGCTAGCTAGCTATCATCAATAAATCAAATTGATATGCAGATGCTGAGAAATGAGTGGAATAAAGAATTAAGTTATGCAATTATATATAGCTTAAATAATGGGACAGTATCTTAACTTCTACAGCAACGGCGCCAACAATATCTCTAATTATGACTTATATTGTACAAAAAAAATATTTAGAATTTATTAGACTCCATTACATTTGAACCCAAAAAAATTGTTTAAGACAGCTTAAGATAATAAGATAATGCTTCTTTACTATATATATTTTTACAATGTCCTATATTTGGGAGAATGTAGTGGACTATATAAACATGACTGTGTCAAAAGCTAAACTGTTTAGAGAATAATATTCTCTTGAACTATATATATGGTACCTGGAATTTGATAACTGGATTTTGACAACTATATATCTAGCACTTGGATTCTAACAACATAAATGGATTCTCTGTGTCCTTACTATGGGTGAAAAACTGATATTGCAATATATGAAAAATAAATGTATGGCTCCATTTACTCAACGCATTGAAGACCTGACTGCACTTACTACTTTTGAACAAATTGCATACAGACCTAAATTTTGTATGGGCAACTATAATGAAATATGAAAGTCAGGGGTGTTTTTCTAGATCTAGCATATTTCTGCTTTTCATTTTATTCTATTTATACCTTAAAGAGAGTTGGCGGAACTAAAACATTTTACATTTCTGTAATTCTAGTAAGCCTCACCTCATCCTCTTCTGAGTGAGATTTATTATCCTCTTCCTCTTGACTTCTTTCAGCAGTGTCATTTTCTTCTTCATAATCATCATCTTCACCACCTTCATATTCCAAGAGACAGTAATTATTAAATTTAGTACAGTAACGATGAAAAATATAGCAAGGATACATAGATTGTCTGATAAATAAATAACTACAATGAGTTCTCAGGCCAGATTGGTACAGTGGTTAAAGCACTAGGTTAGAAACCAAGAAATCATGAGTTCTAGTTCCACCTTAGACACAAAACCATCTGAGTTCCCTTAGGCCAGTCACTCTTTACAAGGAGGCAATGGCAAACTACTTTCAAAATCTTCCCAAGAAAACTGCAAGGATTTGTACAGACAGTTTCAACTGTCAACTCTGAGTCAAAGGTACACACACAAAAAGGATGAATCTTTAATGTATACAGTAATACAGTCTGTCAATTAACAGATTACATAATTATTCAATCTCACATTCATATTACTCAAATTTTGTAAGTAATTTTATCTCAATCAACTTTTTTGTCATTTTGCATTTGGGTCATAATAGCACTTGGAGAGAACCTGAAATGGGTATTTATCGGATGAATAGAGCAAATTGAATGCATGTCCATCCTTTCCCCTCCCTTTATGATGCTGATGACTTCCTGACATTACGGTGGCTATGGATAGGGCCATTCCTCTCCTTTCCTTCTTGCTATGCTTTCTCCTGCTAAGGAACACTTCAGACTTGTTTTATTTTTTTTCTCCTTCTCTTATACTTTTAGAAAAAACATACTTTGGTTCATATGCAGAATAGCTCCACATTGTTTCATTACACAGACCAAAACATCTATTCCAGATGGAATGCATGGAGCAGTTAATATACAGAACATCTGAATACCTTCAAATAACCACATCGGAAATGGACTAGTGGGATTACGGATTTTATTGAGGAACTCTGGATGTGTATTAAAGGGTGACATAGACTATATATAGCAAGTATGGAATATTTAAGAATAATTTTCCAGCTTGGAGTATGTTTCAAGTGGTTCAGAAACTAACGTAAACTACAATTTTGCCAGTTTATCAGAGTTTCAAATAAATATTATCAAAATCTCTTACCTCCTTCACCAATATTTTCACTGATTTTTTTTATTTCATCCTTTTCTGATATTTCTTGTTCTAGTTCTCCTTTTGTAATTGGCTTAGCTAAATCAGTTTTTTTGTAGTCTATATCTTCATCCATTTTCTAAAATAGAAGGATTAATTATCTGATATTCAGACTTAATTTTTTCAAAACATTACAAAGCAGTTGAATGTCCCATGCTTGCCAATTTCCTTTCCTTCTTTTTCTCCCACTACAATATATTTCTAAACATATTTTGAGCCAAGAACCGATCAAACAAATTACTGATTTTTATAATAAAAATGAGATAGATACCTTGGATGGCCAGCAGAACAATATGCCCATTCCTATAGGTAGTGCCAGCGTTAAGATATAAATAATCCAAAGCCACGGGCGCTCTTCTGCAGCAGTTACCAACTGGCTGAACATACCAGGCTAAAAAAGCAAAGGTCATGCACTTATTTTAGAGCTCAAGCTTCATGGAATTTTCTTCAATACATTATTTTTTTTTCAAAAATGTTGATCAATCCATGCGCTATATCAATTATAAGCAAGAGTGTTAATATGAAAGAAACATCTGAACATAAAGAAGCCACTATCTTAATTATGTTCTATCTCAAATTAACAAAAATTGGTGGATCACACATCTGGAGGAAAAAATATAGTCATTTGCTTCATGAAACGAGAATGTTAGTGATTGAGGTAACTAATATTTAAAAATAAAAGTTTTGTTCTCAAACAGATTTTTATCATAATCCAAGAATTGATAATATAATGTTGTATTTTCTAAACAAGAATTCCTTTCTACTACATTTTTTTTAATATTCTTTGACCATTCTTCTCATGCTAAAATCAGGCTACAAAATATGCTAAGAAAGGAAGGGTCTGCCTATTATTAACATCTCTTATGAGACTTCTCCCAAAGTCATTGGTATGAAGTCAGTTATATATTTACAACTAATACATATGTACATACATGGATTCACAAGTGGCAGCAGTTTTTAAAGGACTTTTGCACAGAAATATCTTATGCACCACTTGCAACCATTCCTTGATTGAAAAGTCATGCTCACAATTACTGATGTTATAGTTACTTTCCATTCAGTTTATACTAGCACATTCTTTATAGGCTGTTCCTTGGAAAGCATTTGGAAACTACATTTCATACAAAATATGACAGCAGAGGCAGTGGTAGGTGTTTTTCATTATATCTGAGTGACAACTGCACTGATTCCCATTGACTTCTGAGTGCATTCCAAAGCTACCTTCAAAATCATACATGGTTCTGAACTAGGTATCTGAGTGACCACCTTCTATATTTGTCCTGTGACAAGATGGGCAGCAAGCAAATTTAATAAATAAATAACAACATTCATCTACTATCCAATCAAATTGAATAGGGGAAGCTTCCTCCAGGTCCTATATATTTGTGAACACCATCTAATGGGACTTAGAAAATGGGAATTTTCAATCTCTGCCCAAATGTTTTGGAGCTCTATCCTTACAAAGACCTACCTCTTCACTCATGGGTCTTTAGGAATAGTAGCAAGAAAGAGAGTACATAAATAAATAAGAGATGGGAGGGCAAAGGAAACAAAGCCCTTCACCGTAGTGAAATCTAATCTTTTAGCATCACAAACCTATTCAAGAAATATTTGTCATTAACTCCTGAAATTATTTAACTAGGATATCAACTTTTTTTTTCTTCAAAAGTATACAACACTCAATCTCTTGATCCACTAGATTTGTACTGCATAAATGGCATGATGTAACGGGACTGTTCAAATGGGTATTATTATATTCAAATGATGATTATTGATATTGTGAGCATATGTATAAATCAAACTAGACAGAAGACCTGGCCATGAAGACAAAAAGTTGCCCAAATCTCAATAAATTTGTTTACTATGTTAAAAAACATCAAATGACATCTTAAGCGCCTTGTGTAAAAGTAAACAAAGCATAAAAGCAAGATTCTAAGGTTAATATAATCAAACTCATCCATTTCTCATCCTTGGGCAATCAGAATGATTGATTAGGAAATCATTATTAGTAAATGAATACAAAACATTGAGCATAATCAACATAATAAATAACATAATAAACACATTAAAAATTAAGTATCATTGGAATTTTGAAATGGTATGCATTTCAGGACTTTTTTGCAGCAACTGTATGTATTTGAGACAAAAATATAATCAATTCTCACTTCGTTGGCACTTGCAATCAATTTTTTAAAGCCCCAGCCATCTGCTGCCCATCGATCAGCAACTTCTTTGTCTGAACATATTATGAAGTTATCAAAGTAAATATTAGATGTCATAGACCAGAGTTCTAAACCCATAGCATCAACAGTAGTCATCTGAAAAGGATGAGCATCTTCAAAATAGTCAGGATTAGGAATTTTCTGAGGACTCCATATACCCTGTAAGACGAAAATAATAGAATCCATTTGAAAGAAGAAAAACATTAATAACCTAATATGACAAATAGAAGGTTGGCAACCATTCAAAAATGAAGCTTCCCATTATTTTAGAGTGAATTCTAAAGGTACAGATAAATCAAAAGTATTTTTACATAATCCAGCCTCTGGTTCCCATTGATGAATTCAGTCTGTAATATTTTATGGATTGGAAAAGAGGGCTTAGTGCATCAATTAAACTAAAATATTAACCTGTCCCTGAATTGTATTTGTGGCACAATATGAATAAGTTATTTCTCTGTATATTTAGTCCTTTTTTCCTTTCTTTATGGCATGAGTAAATGAGGCAGTATAATTAACCCCAGCACAAATTTCTAAACTTATGAAATTGAAAACAATGGTTTATTAGAATTCTTCTCATTTGATTTTTTTGCACAGCAAAAGAAAGAATAAAAAATCAAAAACTAAGTTGAAGTTTGCTCATCCAAACAAGGCCACCGTCAATTGGTTTAATGATAAGAAGAAATATCTTACTGACGTAGATAGTTGCTTGTGTTAAAGATTTTTATATTTCATTTGGAGTAATACTGTAATTCATACATCATGGTCCAGGATCTTTTAAAGCAGTGGGTACTATTTCCCATTATGTTGCAAATGTCAAAAATAAAATTAAATAAACTAGATTTTATAATAATTGGACATTGTGAAATTTTAATTTTGACCCAACAGTACCATATACAGATGCTATAGATCAGGGGTATCAAACTGCCGGCCTGCGGGTCAGATGCGTCACGCGGAAGCCACGCCCATCCTATTGCCAGCAATGGCAAAACAGTCCCGATATGTTGCACGTCACGTGACGTCGCGAGTTTGACATGTCTGCTATAGATGCTACTTTGCCAATTTTCTAGAATATAAGTCCTCTTGTGCTTTCAAATAAGTCTACACTGATCAGATACCTTCACAGATTCCATTAAACAGATCCAACTCTATTTACCTTTAGAAAAGCTATTAAGACCTGTCTTTTTTTCCAGGTATTTGGATCTAGTGAGTGAAATCTCCTTTTGATTGTTTAATTATCTCATCTATCTATGGAGATTCTCAATAATGGTCGTGAAGAAGCTTCTTGGATGAGAAGCGTTTTCAAAG